AATTATCTCGGGATAGACACAGCTGATCAGGGAATCAAAAAAGTTTATTCAAACATGGTTTTCTCCTTTAGCAAATTCCCAATTTTTCATTCCAGTTTTCAGCAAGGGATTCCGCTTTCTTCTTCTTCTTAAAATTGTCGAGGGACAAGATGGAGGAGGCGGCGGCGACGGTTGCGGCAACGACTGCGACGGCAACGGCGGTGACGGCGGTATAGGCACATGAGTTGTCAGTTGAAGGAGAAGCACCAACTTGGATTGGGGCGTATTCAGATAAAAAATATTTTCAGAATGCGTGTAAAATTGTGGGTAATTAAGTAATTCTATTTAAGGTGATTTAATTAAATAAATTAATTAATTAAAATTGTGGTGTAGTAAGTAAATTATGTTGTGGTAATATAATTACCCTTTGAGTAATGGGTAAGTGCTACTTGTGTAAGTTTTCTCAACTTGACCGTTGATACAGAATCCTAAAACCAGAGCTGCAATTATACAAGCCCAGCCCAATAGTTGAATAATTTTACGGCCCGGATATAAAATCTACTCAATAGGCCCTATTACGAAGTCTTCTGGCTCGTTCTTCTCTTCAGTTTACAAGAATCTCATTTTGTAAGCGAGAAAAATGCAGGAGACGAAGGGTGAAATGGCGGCTTCATCAAGCACCTTCGTCACTAAGGTAATTTTTCACGCAAGCATAAATGTGTATTTCTTCTTCTATTTGTTTTGGGAATTAATTGAATTTTAGAGTTTTTAAGTTTGTTTTCGAGCTAATTATAACTATAAGGTTACGGACTTGGAAAATTGCAAAAAATATTAAATTTTCTGAGATTTTGGATTAAAAAAATAAAATAAATGGGAATAAATTAGTCACCTAATTTAACTGAATTTCACAATAAAACTCTCTTCAATCCAAAACCATACATAATCTCTAAGAATAATGATATTCATCTCTGTTGGGGTTGAACCCCAATGTATGTGGCAATTATATGACATTAAATAATAGACTCAATTAAATGAGTCATGTGACTTTGTATTTAAATGAATCTATCATTTAAAGCCATGTAATTGCCATATAGATTGGGGCTCAACCCCAGTATGGATGAATAGCATTACTCTATCTCTAAAAAACACTTCCATTTACATCACAATACTTTTGATATTGAACATCTTCAAGTGGACACAATTTCATGTCTTCCATGTACAATAAAACATAATGGTGACGAAGTCATGCGCCACGCATTGCATTATATGAAAACTAGATTTCGTCACACATAATTCATAGAAGTTACAATCTACATGTCCATTATATGTTAATTACAATAGATGTCGTAACTATAAATAAAAAATTCACAAATTAGCTTCTTCAGTAGTCACACAACAGACACGTGTTTCATTAACAAAGAACTGTCACGAAGTCGTATTCATTGGTTTTATACTAATGCATAAGAACAAGGAGGTTACAATAACACGCTGCGAGGCTAATTTAATTACGCGTTGGAAATTCACAACTCAATCACACACATGACAAACAACGATTGTCGCTTTAATCATATCACAAACACGACTATGAATGGGAGACATCGATCATCATATGAAGACAAATTAACACAACTTTATGTTATTTCATCCCCCATATAAATTTGGGCAATCAGAGTGACAACCATAACATCAATGGTGACAGAAATTCAATTTTGAGTATGGAACAGTTATCTTCAAACAATGGAGTTGAGTTGTTGAAGATTAAGGTCCCAGGGCATAAAAAGGAAAAAAATGTAGACTTAAAACATGATTCATTGCTAGGCAACTCATACTTCACATTTGTCCATTTCTGTAGCGCCAAAGCTACCTTACATTTCATAGACCCAAGCAAGACTTGACCTTAAACGGCACATTTATGTTCTGTCACAGCCGCGCTTTTGAATTTCGACGATTCCACACGTCTTCTCTCTCTTCCTGTCTCCTAATATCCTTTATAAATTCCACTCCCTCTCTTTTACATTTTTCAAACCAAAATTTCTTCAAACATCAAATTTTGTATTCAAAAACTGGTGGATTTGGATTGCAAAACAAAAATGATTTCATCCCAAATGGAAAGTAGATCGCCGAGGCTTTCAAATAACCTCAACATATCGATTCCAATGCCTCAAGCGGAGTTAACGGCGGCGTCTGACTCGGCTTGCTCGTCTTACGAGAGCTATCTACGGCTTCAGGAGCTCAAAAAGTTATGGAGTTCCAAAGAGTTTCCTGGATGGAAAGACGAGTTGATTCTTAAACCGGCTTTCATCGGTCTAGAAATCACGTTCCGGTTTATCTCCACCGTTTTATCGGATCCCAGGCCGTATGCGAACATGTGGGAATGGAAGCGGCGGCTACAGGCTTTAACAACTAGCGAAATTGAAATTATAGCTTTATTATGTGAAGATGATGTGAAGACACGTGCCGCGATTCCGATCGTGGATGTGACGTCATCGGATGGTGTGTTGGCTAGGGAAACCAGCTCTGCCGAGGTGCGGAAGATGTCCGATGAGACAACGGTGGTGAGCCGGGTGAGCGAAGCCAGTTTGTTGCCACGACTGGCCACGTGGCACAAATCAGAGGAGCTTGCGAAGAAGATTCTCTACTCCATCGAACGCGAGATGCATGGCATTCCATACACCCTAGGATTAGGTGAGCCGAACCTCGCCGGCAAACCGACCTTCGACTACGACGCCGTATGCAAACCAACCGAGCTTCACGCATTCAAGAAATGTCCCTCAGATAATGCGGATCTGGACATAGAAAACCAAACACTTTACGCAACGCACCAGATTCTAGAGTCATGGATCTGTGTGTCGAAATTTATTTTGGAGAGAATTAGGTCGAGAATCGACAGCAGAAGCTTCGAGAATGCTTCAAGTGATTGCTGGATACTGGAAAAAGTATGGAAACTGTTGAAGGAGATCGAAGATCTCCATCTATTGATGGACCCAGATGATTTTCTCCGTTTGAAAAATCGTCTTTCGATAAAAGCAACTTCGGAATCCGACTCCTTCTGTTTCAGATCCAGAGAACTCGTCGAAATCACCAAATTATCCAAGGACCTGAAACACAAGGTGCCTACCATTTTGGACGTGGAGGTTGATCCCAAGGGCGGTCCAAGGATCCAAGGAGCTGCGATGAAATTGTATAGAAAAAAAGCTGAATTCGAGAAAATTCATTTGCTGCAGGCGATGCAGGCGGTGGAGATGGCAGTGAAGAGCTTTTATTTTTCATACAAACAGTTGGTGACGATTGTTATGGGGAGTTTGGAGGCAATGGGGAATAGAACATTTGTGAACGTTGATTCGGGAGATTTGTTGGGTCAAATATACCTTGAGCCAACGTATTTTCCCAGTTTGGATGCTGCAAAGACTTTTCTCGATTCTTGGGGTCATGAGAGGGGAAGATAGTTCATGAACACCATGGTCGTGGATTCTACGCAGAATTGAACAACATTGAGGAAGGTTCACTGCTTTACGACAGTGTTCAAAGGGTATAATTAAAAGTTGTGAATTGGGGACCAGTTAGCTTGTCGAGCTAATCACGAGATAAGAGTTTGCGTACCAAAAGAAACTAGGAGAATTATTTTAATACTTCAAATTTTGGCGTTCACTATAGTTATTCTTGTACTCCGTTATTCTTACACCGCACTTGCTGACAAGTTCTTAAATGGGACTTTATTTCTTCGGTTACCATTACGCTCGTTGATGTAGTAGGTCATCGAAGTTGGGTGGGAACAATATTCTACTTCATGGTTGGAGAAATTGAGCGATTTTACTAGTTGCATTGGTCCGATCATCTTGGAAATTGCAAATTGGTCCATAATTTTTGCTCATCATTGGTTTGGTTGTAATAGAATGGACTCTAGATCATCATGCTGCCTTGAATTTTCAAGTACTTTGAGCTCAGGTTGGCCTTCGATAGCCTGGTTGTGTTAGTCATTTGATCACAACATTCATTGACACATTGTTTGATTGGTTCTAAGGTAAGGTCCGAGTTACTATATTTATGCAGGATCGAAATTTTTTTGGTCACGTGAAGTCAGGATAGTTAATACAAAGAGCAAAAAATAAAGAGTTTTTGGTGTATAAAAAAGTTGCCCTTAACCCCAGAGCTTACTCATTTTGTCGAACCAGCCAATGAATCATCCATAACTCTAGCTGATGGTGGCAAAGAATGTCATCCAACCTTACATACCAAACTTCGAACCCACGGAAGAATCATCCATGACTCTAGCTTATGATGGAAAAGAATGTCGTCCAACCTTACATACCAAACTCGCATAAATGATAGAATAATGCTATTTAGTATCAGTCTTATGTCAGCATGCACGTCATATTAAATGAATCATGAATCTTTGTATTTAGGACGTGTTCGATAGATATTAAAATTGAAAAACTAACCGTTATTGTTGACTTTTATTAGACGAGTGGAACCCAATAACAGTGATACTTTCAATTTTAATTGGATTTTAAGCTGTACCGAACGGGCCCTTAATTGAACATATAATTTAATGATACAAGTACAATCACTTAAAACCGATGTTACATTTGGGCATGCATAAACATGTGCTATCACTTATTATGTCATACAGAATTGGGTGGGTTCCCTAGCAATGAAACATGCATTGTGTCAAATATGGACTGCTTTCTTTTTCCTTTCATGTGCCAGTGCTTATCCACGTTCAGTGAAAATTATCCGATTGAAGATTTAAATTACTATTATTGTTTTTAAACAAAGTTAACAGGTCTGTAAAATAAGAGATCTTTGTGGAATATAATGGTATGAACATGTTGTGTAATGAAGATTATGTAGTTTGGGCGCAAACAAGCCAACCTGTAACCAGAAAGAGCAATCTAGGCATATCATGATATTCAAGCTCGAACGCTATTCAGACTGAATCAAAATTGCACACATAGGCTACATTAATAAATCTATATTTTAAATACTAAAATAAACTTCAGCTGGACCCAAGGAACAGGTAAAGAAAGACTCACTACTAAAATTCTTAATCAAGATGCTGCAACAACGAATATTTAACCTAGTCAAAGAGACCAAAGCCCATGTCGTCATCGGATTCCTCAGCCGGTTCATCCTTCTTCTCCTCTTCCTTGGCAGCAGCAGGTGCAGCACCTGAATCATCAGCTGCAACTGGAGCCGCTGCAACTGCAAACTTGGTGGGATCCTGATGAACAAAAAATTTTAGTGATAAGCACTACACGAGAGTAGAGCTGAACTGGGTCAAAAAGCATAACAATTTAACATCATTAGCACATACCTCAAGGTATTCCTTCACTTTATCTGCCAGTGGGAAGGAGTAATCAGTTTCAACTGCAACTGCCAAAACATTCTTGTATGCATTGATGAACATGTGAGGTGCAGCTGCTAGTGTTGGGTATGAGATGGCTAGTGACAAGGACGTAACCATGGAAACTCCCATTGCAAACTTCTCAATGAGGTCGTCTTCTGTCAAATCAAGCACCTCAGGGCTGAAAACAGATCCATTGTCATAAGCCGAGAGGACAACGAGACCGTAAGAGAAGGGCCTGATTCCAAGTTTTGCAAGCAAAGCAGCTTCAGAAGAACCCACTTTGTCGCCCTTCTTGATAAGCTCGACAGGAGTGATAATTTCTACAGTACCCTTGTTAATCTTTGTTGGAATGTTGAGAACCTGGATGGAGATGAGGTTAGAAAGAATAATACTAGAAAAGGAGAAATTTAGATACAAGTAAAATGTACTATAGATACCTGGAAGAAAGAAGTCTGGGATGGATCAAGTCCAGTGTTGCCAGGTGGGACAACAACATCTACAGGAGCGACTAGACCAACACGAGCTGGAGCTCCAACCTTTAAAAATAAAGATGATTTTATATATGTCTTAGCACCAAGAGAATGGTAAAGTAGGCAAAGAAAATCGGATTATACTTGCAGACAAGTTTAACACCAAATATTTAGATATGCAACCTTCAGCGTTATCCCACATGACATTATACAATTTCAAAATTCAATATTTTTGAAGAGTAACAATTCCAAAAAATATGAATATTCTACTCTACTTTGTAATGGGTTAGAAAATTAAGAGCAATAGATACTGACACAGCTTCAATTGGTTCGGAAAGGGACATATATTAGAATAGATTACTAAAGAAAAGAGCCTTGTCTACCAAAGAAATAAGGATAATAGTACACAAAAAAGATGAAATCTAAATTTATGTGACACCTTCACTCCATTTGCTTGGAAACTGGTAGTCAAAAAGCAAAAGAGAAGACAAACGTCACAAACCTAGAAATAATAAAACAAGAATTCACTGACTTTGCTAATTCCGCTTTCTATTCCAGGGTTTGAACATCAATGAATAATTACAACAGTCCTGCAAAGTTGAACACTTTCCTACACCTTTTTTTAGTCATTTTAACTTTCTAAATGCAAGGTTCAGTTAAAATTACCATTAAGAATTGGAACTTGGAAAAATAAAAATCAAACACCAAGTTGAAAGTAGTTCATGTCAATTGTAATAAAGCAATAACAAGCAAGATACTAGTATCAAACTAGACCAGTTGGATTTGAACCACATAATAACACTTGAGCCAGTGTTATTAAGACAACAAAATTCAATGATGAAAAGGAGACAATAGATTTCCAAGGAAATGCAGTTGCTTTTAAACAGCAAATCAGAAATTAATTGAACTTAACCAAGCAAAAACAATAAGATAGGAAGCAACAACAATAAAAGCAGTAAATAACCATTTTACCTTGTACTTAGCAACCTCCTCGCTAACTTCCTTCAAGTCACCCTTAGTAAAGATCAATCCAACATTTCCCTAGCCAAATGTAATGAACAATATCAAATTTAAAATCTCCTTCATCAGCACTTACGAAATTACTAAACTCTATAATTCTTTATAGAGTAAATATCTAAATCAACATCCATCTTCAGTTTTCACATACCCAGAACACACAAGCATCTAAAACATAAACCAATTAATCTCCCGAAATTTAACTAATTTGCCCTCAAAAATATAAAAATTCCCACAGAAAGAAATAAAACTCTTGACCGTTTATTACCCTTAAAAAGGCTTAGAAAATAGAATAAAAATAAAAACAATTGAAAATTTTTTTAGCACTTACAACAAGAAGGGGAATTAGATTAAGAATGGCCGTGTTGCCAGTCTTTTCAGAGTGAATCCTAATACTCCTCTTCATCATGGTGTTTTTACCCATCAGAACCACAGAATCACCCCTCAGACCCTTCCGAATGTTCTGCAGCTGGGTCGATCCGACGTTGTCGGCCGCCGCCACCAGAATCTGCGTGTAGTCGTCCAGAAGCTGGCATAGCTTTGAGTCGTACAAGATTTTCTTTTCAGCCTTGGAAACCTTGGGCGCCATTGATCAACAACACTAGCAAATTAGCAACTGTGTTTCTGCAAATTTTAGGGTAGAATTGAGAGGAAGCAATGAAAATGAAAATGTATATATAGAAAATGACCTAAATTCTACGGTTGAGATAGGATTTCTGAGGTTAATCTATGGTTGTAGATTTGTCGTAATGTGGGCTGGCTTGTCACGGGCTGAGCAGTATTATCATTTTCAATTAAGTGGACATTAGGCCCACTATGAATGTTGTTTCTAAACAGTTGCGACTTACGTGTGGATAATGGAGAAAATAGTGTCAACGAGTCGAGTCGAGCCACGACTCCACGAGTGGAAATTCGAAACTCGGGTTCGGTTCAGGTAAAAATGATTCTGACTTTTTTTGCCCTCCTGAGCTTTTAGCTCGGATCTTTACGAGCCGAGCCGAACCGAGTTGAGCGGGCTCGATTTTTATTTTATTTTCTTATAATATTCGTGACTGGCAGCTGTCTGTCATAGCTGTATACGTTTGCAGGCAGCTAATTTTTTTTTAACCTTTTATTTTTTTACTAAAACTTAGCTCGGCTCGTCACGTGCCGAAAATGGCCAGTGATACAAGCCGTCGCCCCAAGTTGGGACTTGACCATAGCCACGAGTTGCCCGAGTCAATGAGCCACATTGACATCTCTATGAGGAAATGGTGGTCCTCAAACTACGTCACTAGATCATGACTTAGCTGCATGGCAAGAACATCAACCTTGAAAACAACGACTATTATTCCAAAAACACTTTTCCTCAAAACCTATTTTTAATGAAGCCCAAACATCAGTAACGGATGCAAATATTTTGAGTTATGGGCACAGTTAAAGTTGCAAAAAAGTATAAAAAATTAAAGTATTTGCTATTTTATAACATCATTTTTAATATTTTGAAATACATCATTCTCAATATCTGCAATGAAACTATCATTCGACCACTGACGGATGCAGACATTTTGAGTTATAGGGCACAATTAAACTTGCAAGTATAAAAAATTAAGAAATTCAATATGTTATTACAATTGTTCTCTATGCATTCTCATACCTTGATAGCATTTCATAATTACATCATTTTTAATATTTTCAAATACAACATTATCAATATCAGCAATCAAACTATCATTCAACTACTGGTCCTCGTCGATTGTAATAGTAACCACAAAAGAATTAAGACCAATGTCACAAGCTTGTAGACTAATAAATACATTTCATGTTTATTTTCCCAACTTCCGTGATAGATTACTAAGGCCTTAAATCTTCCAAAATCTTCGTCATTAAGCATGTTAAGAACGCATGTATCAAGTTGATCATCAAGTTTCGAGATATCTAATGCGTCAAAATCTATCGGATAGTGCTCACATAGTCGAATCACTTTGTTCTTGTCAAAAGTAGCAAATGAATTGTTAGAATACAAACACGCAACACAAAAGAGTAACAAGCAGAATGTATTGGGTGATAGGCAATAGGTGAGAGATTTTGAACGGTTCGAAGTAGCGAGAGAATGCATGAAGAGAATTGGATTTGGGCATTTTATTATTAAAAAAATTGATTCATTCACTAAGCATGCACTTATTAGAAGGAATTGAAAAAAAAAAAAAAAAAAAATCGATGGACCAACATTTTTCTTGGGCTTATCCAAATTTAAAAAATAAAATAAATGGTGAGTCACATGACCCACCTTGGGTCCGTCGATGCCAAACATGGTAATAATGAAAATACAATCTAAAAGCATTCTCGATAGACACTTTTATGAGGTTCTCTAAATTAAAATTTTAAAATATAGAGTAAAATACATTTTCTATAATTAAATGCATTTAAAGTATTTCAATTTTCAATAGAAAAAATTGATATAATAATTTGGAGGGAAACTAGTGAAAATAAAATATAGGCAACTATTTTTTTACAGTAATAAAATTAAGTGTTCAAGATAAAGAGTTTGTTGGAGTACTTAAAAAAATTTACTTTCTAAAATTGTAAATGTTTTTAAATTACTAAATATGCATTTTGAAAATAGAGAGTTTTTTCAGAGATGTTCCAAAAAGATTAGCATTAGGGTAGAGATTTTGGGTCTTAGACGAATTGTTATTCCATCTGCGAAGGAGATGAAGTTGAAGGGTAGAGTTTTTGGTTCTTAAACAAATATGGACTTCTCCCTCGCTTAGAAGCTCTTGTAGAGTCATCAAAAGCAACGACTTGAGTTTTCGAACTGTAGAAGTTAGAACCACATATTAATTCACACAAACATTTAAAGCCATCTAAAAATGGCAAGAATTAAGAAAAATATTGACAATATAAGACCGTATCAAATGTTATATTTAAGAAAATTTTGTACGTATCATTCGTGTTTTTTACAAATGTAACAAATCTATTTTCAACATTTTTTTATCATAATAGTATAGTACATTCCTAACATTTTAATTATGCAGTAAAACTTACCCAGAGTATATTTTGGACGAATTTGCTATCCTTTTTAAATAAACAAAATCACAAAGCAATAGAAAAATGAAGGAAAGTTGAGGAGTCCCATAACATTTCTAAATATAACTGTTTTCTTAAATTAAACATGAATTAGGTATGATACTACTTATAAAAAAAAAGTAAATTATATGATTAAAATTTTAAATATGATTAAAAAAAGTTAATTTATATTTACTATTATAGAAATTTTATCTTTTTCTTTATAAGGGTATTTTTTAAGTAATTAATCTCATTTTAAGCCCATGTTTGGACTTCGTTAAAATTAGTTTTTAGGGAAAAATATATTTTTGAATAATGATTTTTTTTAAAGAATGTATGGTTAAAAAAGAAGGAAAAATTCTAGGTTTAAATATAATATTATTTTATTAAAGAATATGTGATTAAAAAAATGCATTAAAATTAAAATGGAGCCAAACATGAATTAATGATATAGGGCTAAAACAACAAAGGTCAAATGATGAATGGGATGCTCAAAACTAGAGAGAGAGAGAGATGATATAGGGCTAAAACAAGGAAGGTCAAATGATGAATGTGATGCTCAAAACTAGAGAGAGAGATTAGTGTAATTTTTAAACGCGTATTATCTATTTATAATATAAATATCACGTTAAGTGAGAATCATTTTTTTTAACGATTTTAACTTTACTATATAATTCTTGTCATGCATGAATTTCGTGTTATTAATTTTCAATTAATTAAAATTTTTATTAATCTAGACTCGATAAATCTTGATTTAAATGAATTTAGAGTTATTATAAATAAATCTATTTCTATTTATGATGTTTAAATTTATATATCAGCAATTAATTCTTATGTAACGAATTTATTATAAAAATGTTATTCATTTGCAATATTTCATCATCATCATCATAAAAATAAAAATAAAAATTGAATCATAGAAGTTGAGTTTTGACACCCATTTTTTGGATTTTTCGAATAGTGATTGATTGGGAGAATGTGTGGTGGAAAAGTTATGAAAAGTTTTAGATTTATGTGTAATATTATTTTATCAGAAGAATGTGATGTTGAAATGAATAAAGATAAAAAATGCAAATGAGAATGAGATGAGAATGGATGAAAAACGGGGCATAATTTTCTTCTTTTCAATTTTTATTATAATTTTTTTTTTTCAATTCATTTGAGATATGTCGAATTCTCCCAATAAATTGATATCAAATATTATTCTTACAGCACTTATAAAATATTTAAGAACAACGTACAATATATATTCAATTCTGACTAGTCATCATATAGTTGAGTGATCTCTCTAATATTGTTTCAATTTAATTTATCGATCTCGTGTTTTCATTTTTCTAAATTATAATGAGAGAAATATTAATTTATTTGAGAATGCGTGGTTAAAAATGATGAATTTTTTTAAGATTTATGTGTAATATTATTTTATTGAAAAATGTACGTATGATGAGAAGAGATAGAAAAATGAATTTTAATTTAACGGCCAAACAGGAGCTCAATTATTTGCAATAAAAATTGGGGGGTTGGCCAACGTATGAGAGAGGAAGAACACTACGTTGAATGCCATCTAAAAAACCGGTTTCAATTAATATTTACAGATGAGGAAATGATAATTAATATATTTTCTCCATAAAATAAAATTCGAGGCATTGTCATTCACAGAATCCACCCATCTCTGTCTCTGTATCTCTCTCCCTCTATTTTGCTTTCTCAAACTCACACATACAGAGTCTGAAACACTTGGAAAATGAAAGCAATGACCTTTTCACACCGCCTGTCACCGTCGAACCACCGGCTGTCTCTGGGCACTGGCATTTCGAGTAGAAGAAGCTCAAGCTCGTTTGTTTCCTTTGGGTCCCCTACATTCCAATGCTGCTCAATCCACTCTCCATCTTTAGGTTTCTCTCTCTACATTTATATGTGTATGTATTTGCATACATTTAATTTTATTGCAATTTGTCTGTTGCATGGACATGCATTTCTAAATTCTACAGTCAATTTACAGAATTAACTTTACCCTTTTTGTGGGTTAGACAATGCATAAACAGGAAAATGAAAATTAATTCAAATTCCGAATCACAGTTTTCTGATTTTTGTTTTCCAATTCATTTAAGTGTATAAAAAAAACATGTGTTTCAAGGATGATCAAAGCAAATGTTAGTAAATAAAGAAAAAGTATTTATGGTTTAAAATTCATTTTTATTTTTTCATGTGTGTTATTGGATTGTAAACAAGAGTTAATTTGGATCATGATTGAATCTACTTTTGTCTCTGCTTATGCGCTTTTAAATCTCAGTTATGGATGAGAAGAGGTTTATTGAAGCATCGAAAAATGGGAATTTAATTCCTCTTTGTAAAACTATTTTCTCGGATCAGTTGACACCGGTGCTTGCTTATCGGTGCTTGGTTAAGGAAGATGATCGAGAGACTCCGAGCTTCCTCTTTGAATCAGTCAATCCTGGTTACCGCACAATAACTGTTGTAAGAGTATTGATTATGGTCAAAATTATTCATTATCTTGGAAATGAATGAGCACATGCAAGCACAGTGGTGGAGCCAAACGGGGTGGGGTGGGGGATTTTTTTTTTTTTTAAGATTTACATAGTACATGTATAGTTCGTCCCTTCGATATTTTATCCATCCCCCAAGCAATAATCCTTGCTCCGCCACTGTGCATGCATAAAGGAATACTAGGAATTTGTCTAAATTCTTATGTCATGGTTTATTTAGGGGAGATACAGTGTGGTAGGTGCGCAACCGACAATGGAAATCGTGGCAAAAGAAAACAAGGTTACAATATTAGACCATGAAGCTGGGAAAAAGACTGAAAGGGTTGTAGAGGATCCGATGACGATTCCAAGAAGTATTTCAGAGGATTGGAGACCACAACTGATCGAAGATCTTCCTGATGCATTTTGTGGTAAGAAATTAGGTGTAATAATATGAATTTTGTAATGTTTATAGTGAAATATTTCAGCAGATTTTATTTGAAATTTGAAATTTTATTAGATTTATTGAACAAGTTGCACAAAGAGTTATTTTACAATCTTGGTAGGTGCTTACTATTTCCTTATCTTCTCGAACAGGCGGATTGGTTGGTTTTTTCTCATATGATACGGTTCGTTATCTAGAGAAGAAAAGGCTGTCTTTCTCAAGCGCACCAAAGGATGATAGGAATCTTGCAGACATTCATCTCGGACTCTATAATGATGTAATTGTGTTTGATCATGTAGAGAAGGTATGATTAGCTTATTGAAAATTAGAATGTATTTTTATTCTACTTACAGACAAAAGTAGAACGATCTGCAATACAAAAGCTATTATCACAAAGCAGTCGGCAAATGCGAAATATGTTTGATATAGACATAATACTATCTCTATCTGTTTACCTTATTCCTATATCGTTAAATTTATTATTGGATTATTCGTGAATGATTCCTGGGAATTCCCCTTCTCCGTGCAGAAAGTACACGTGATTCATTGGGTCAGGTTAGATAGATACTCATCTGCTGAGAAGGCTTATAATGATGGAATCGCACGCATGGAAAAATTGGTGTCCAGAGTAAATGGCATTGATCCGTGAGTAAAAAGTCTATCTGATTTCTTTATCTTGAAAATGGTCCATTGAAATTAATTTGCACTAGCTGATCTCTAATTTCAATTATCGTATGTTAGTCCAAGGCTATCTCCAGGATTCATTGACCTCCAACCTCACAATTTTGGACTCACTTTAAACAAGAGTAACATGACAAGTGAGGAATATAAGAACGCTGTCGTACATGCAAAGGAGCACATTTTAGCAGGGGATATCTTCCAAATTGTTTTAAGTCAACGCTTTGAACGAAGAACATTTGCTGACCCGTTTGAAATCTACAGAGCTTTAAGAGTTGTGAATCCAAGTCCATACATGAGTTATTTACAGGTTTCTTTTTCTCTTTAATTAACAGTCACCATCCTTCGTTTAATCTATGAACACAGCTGATGCCAATTATCTTCACGCATTCTTACTGCATGCCAGGCTAGAGGGTGTATTTTGGTTGCTTCAAGCCCAGAAGTGCTTACGTGTATCAAGAAGGTAAAATTGCTTCTACATTTACACTCTGGCTATCAGCAATGCTTTGAATATCTTCAAGCTCTTTTATTTGTAACTTCCAGTGTTTAGGACAAATGCTAACATAAATTTTCTATGCCACTCTTATTAACAGAAAAAGATTTTTAATCGACCCTTGGCTGGAACCATTAGAAGAGGGAAGACGCCAGCTGAGGATGAGATTATGGAAATGATGATGCTGAAGGATGAAAAGCAATGTGCAGAACACATCATGCTGGTTGATTTGGGTCGAAACGATGTTGGAAAGGTTTCCTCTTACTTCTTTCACTCCAAAAAATATTAAGTGCTAAATTTTGACAGCCTGTCATCTATTCATGTCACGTTCCCTGCCACAATTTTTATGGTGCATAGTTTCTTTCAAAATTCCTTTTATTTCAATGTTCATGCTTTGTTACTATTATGTATGGGTGAGTATCTATGGAAATTTTCAGTCAATGTCGTGTGGGATTGTACTCTGCTCATCAGCACCTCTACACAGTCATTTCTACCAAGTTATGATTTCTTTGTCGTTGATTAAAATAGATATGTATTGATATTTTATGCACTTGACAAGTAAATAATTGGTATTGATGATATTGCCATCAAGAGGCAAACCATGTACTTGTTGAGTAAATTATGAATGATTGTCTCTCTAGCTTTTTCCATAATTACTTTCTCTGTCATACGAAACAGCTTACCCGTTAAAACATAAATTTAATCAACTATATTATGTGGATTCATGATGTAGGTTTCAAAATCTGGTTCCGTAAAGGTCGAAAAGCTTATGACGGTTGAGCGATACTCCCATGTGATGCACATCAGCTCTACTGTGAGAATTTACATAGTCGTTCAGCTTTAAAGATCTGTGGAAGCATAAAAATCTTTATAAGTTTTTTCATTCCATTTCATTTGCATGTTTAAAGAACTACTTTTTGTTCTCTTGAGGGAACCTAATTACCTTTATGTGCTCCTGAAAACTATATTAAAGAAGCAATTTTACATAATTTACTAAAACTTTTACTCACAGATCAGTGGGGAGTTGCTTGATAATCTAACTTGTTGGGATGCACTGCAAGCTGCATTACCGGTTGGAACAGTTGCTGGAGCACCAAAGGTTTCTACTTTATTTTCTTCCTTTCTATTTTTTACTCTTTCCTCATTTGTTATCGTTTACAAGTGATTCAACAAATTGCTCGATCGTCTAAATCCTAGTCTTGCTCTCTCAAGGCGGGGGGGAATAAAACTTTATACAGTCATCTTTTAAGGTTATTTTTCTTCTTCTACTACAGGTTAAGGCCATGGAGTTAATTGATCAATACGAAGTAACAAGACGAGGACCTTATAGTGGTGGCTTTGGAGGAATATCGTTTCTAGGCGATATGGATATCGCGTTGGCTCTCAGGACAATGGTGTTCTCTGCTGGAGCTCGTTATGACACTACATTTTCATACAAGAATGCAAACATGCGTCAAGAATGGGTTGCTCATCTTCAAGCTGGAGCTGGAATTGTGGCTGATAGCAATCCCGACGAGGAGCACATAGAGTGTCAAAGAAAAGCTGCGGCTCTTGTTCGTGCCATTGAGCTGGCCGAGTCGGCATTTGTGAACAAAGGATTTGGGGAGCCAGCCATTGACAGACCTATGCACAACCTGCCCTGGACCCTGGTCCAAAAAAGTTGGGCCAAGAGAAAATTTGTTTAGATGACCATTTAACTCACCAAAAAGGTAAAAATGTGAATGGAATCCTTCCATTTTCACCTGCTGGTGTACCAAAGAAATTGACGTGAATATAGGCAAATATAATTAGAAAACTGGTTGAAAAATATAAATTCTTGAACTAAATGAAGTTATCAAATTTGTCTCTTTTATGTAAAGTGTCTTCTAAAAATTTAGAAAAGATGGTTGGAAATGAATATTGAAGTTCAGAATTAGGGTGCTTGAACAGGCAGAAACCAATTAGAGGAAAATATTTATTCAGTAAATTTGAATGAATGTCACTGTTATACTACATGATGAACGATGAGAGCATTAACCGATTAGCTACTGGGAAAGAGAGAACTTAATATTTATGACTATATCCTGATAAATTCCTTTCACTTACCCAATGCTTTCTCCTCCTCCTAAATTCACTATTTTTGAGTTTTAAACAAGAGTAAGAGGTGAAATGACTATTTGAGAGGTGGATATTTGAATTTGTATTCGTTTTTCTCCTTGGACGGAGGAATTTATAGATTTTCTTGGGATCATTCTAGAACATAGCAGGTAGTGATCATTTAGTGTTGGTTTGATAACTAATTATGTTATGTATTCATGTGTTACCCGAGGTTTAAAGTCATGCTTTTTAGATTTGTCCACGTGTTAAAGTAACGATTTTTCCTACCATAATTAAGAATGTTTCCCCTTGCCTCTTTCGCGAGCCCTCTTTACATAGATACCTTTGTGCTACCAAGCTTCGCCTAGGGGTTGAATTCGTAAGATAGACTTCATTTTTTACATCAACAGTTACTATTTATGTCCCCATAAAGATAATCTTTTTTCTATTTTCATACATATTAAGAAAATATGATTAAAATAGTTGAAAATATAAATTTTAGTTACATTTTTCCTAATATATTCCTACATTAAATAATAATTTAAATAGAAGTAATTCATATTTATTGATAACAAAACAAATTTTAATAGAAACATATTAGAAAATTAAAAAGTTATTTATACTTTCAATAAAGAAAGTGACCTATAATTTGAAGAATTATTCTTCTAGTACATAAGTGCTACATAAGGGTGTCCATAATTGACATATGGCGCCCTCCCATTGGATGGAGTGTCGACCCCACCAACCATTCCTCCAATGAGGAGGCGCCGGGTGTCCATTATGGACACCCTTATGTAGCCTCTGATGTACCTGTAGTATCACTCTAATTTGAAACAGATGAAAAATGAAAGCAAATTTATCCCTATTGGACGTAGATATTATATTTTTTCCCTTTCATTGATGGAGGCGCCAGGCTATTCTGCACCTGCAATAGTGGTGGCCGGTACTATCTCTGCTATTTCCACTCCAACATGTCTACGAGTTTGAGTGGAGAAAATATTATGTACAAGTTTTTTTTTTTTTCGAAATGCAATGCATTAAACATCAAAGTGGCAAAGAACGGATATAAGGAGGAGTTACCTCCAACACAATTCTCTCCTCTAAGAGTTTAAGTACTTCTTATGTTAAAGCATAATCTATCACAAAACCATCTAAGGCACAAAAAACAGATGGAAAAACCAAACCAGCACAAATCCTTCAGCATCCAAAGCTGCAACCTCAAATCCAGCATAAATACAGGCCCCCTGCCATCCAACCTGATATGCGCAAAACACTTCTGACGAACACGGGAGTTGGGATCACACGGGCCCCAAACTTCCAAATAAAGAGTTGGGTCGGATTGAAAAAGAACAAAACCTGCACCAAAACAAAACCTCTACGGACAAGAAGTCGGAGAGGAAAAGCTAGGACTCCAAGAGACCCTAGAGAGAACATTACCATTGCTTGCAAAGGAAGGACAGGGAAGGTAGATGGCAAGAGAGAAAAAAATGGACCAGCATAAGGGAGGAAAAACAAGAAGAAAAGTAAAATGGGCAAGTTGGCCGGACGAGCGGCACAGGGCCGCTCGCTAGAAGTGGAAAAATATTGTATAATTCAAGCTCATTCTTGAGATGTAAGCACCCTTTATATAAGAGCACACCTTGCTGGTGTGGCCATGGAACCGTTAGATACAACACGACATGCATCCTTAGTGTTTTGTTTCCAGATGCAACGAGTTCATTACGTTAGAGTACTATTGATCTCCATTTTGTTGGTTTGATAACTAATTATGTTACGTATTCACGTATTACCCGAGGCTTAAAGTCATGCTTTTTAGATTTGTCCACATGTTAAAGTAACAATTTTTCCTACCATAATTAAGAATGGTTCCGCTTGCCTCTTTCGCGAGCCCTCTTTACTTAGATGCCTTCGTGCTACCAAGCTTCGCCTAGGGGTTGAATTCGTAAGATAGACTTCATTTTTTACATCAACAGTTAATATTTATGTCCCATAAAGATAATCTTGCTTCTATTTTCATACATATTAAGAAAATATGATTAAAATAGCTTAAAATATAAATTTTTACTTACATTTTTCCTAATATATTCCTACATTAAATAATAATTTAAATAGAAGTAATTCATATTTATCGATAACAAGACAAATTTTAATAGAAACATATTAGAAAATTAAGAAGTTATATATACTTTTAATAAGGAAAGTGACATATAATTTGAAACATATGAAAAATGAAAGCAAATTTATCCTATGGGACGTAGATATTATATTTTTTCCCTTTCATTGATGGAGGCGCCAGGCTATTCTGCACCTGCAATAGTGGTGGCCGGTACTATCTCTGCTATTTCCATTCCAACGTGTCTACGAGTTTGAGTGGAGAAAAGATTATGTACAAGTTTTTTTTTTTGAAATGCAATGCATTAAACATCAAAGTGGCAAAAAAGGGATATAATGAGGAGTTACCTCCAACACAATTCTCTCCTCAAAGAGTTGAAGTACTTCTTATGTTAAAACATAATCTACCACAAAACCATCTAAGGCACAAGAAACAGATGGAAAAACCAAACCAGCACAAATCCTTCACCATCCAAAGCTGCAGCCTCAAATCCAACATAAATACAGGCCCCCTGCCATCCAACCTGATCTGTGCAAAACACTTCTGACGGACACGGGAGTTGGGATCACACGGCCCCAAACTTCCAAATAAAGAGTTGGGCCGGATTGAAAAAGAACAAAACCTGCACCAAAACAAAACCTCTACAGACAAGAAGTCGGAGAGGAAAAGCTAGGACTCCAAGAGACCCTAGAGAGAACATTACCATTGCTTGCAAAGGAAGGACGGGGAAGGTAGATGGCAAGAGAAAGAAAAAAATGGACCAGCATAAGGGAGGAAAAACAAGAAGAAAAGTAAAATGGGCAAGTTGGCCGGACGAGCGGCACAGGGCCGCTCACTAGAAGCGGAAAAATATCGAATAATTCAAGCTCATTCGTGTGATGTAAGCACCCTTTATATAAGAGCACACCTTGCTGGTGTGGCCATGGAACCGTTAGATACAACACGACATGCATCCTTAGTGTTTTGTTTCCAGATGCAACGAGTTCATTAAGTTAGAGTACTATTGATCTCCATTTTTCTATCAAAAAGTTGAATTTTAATTCTAACCATATACGAACATGTTCCACGAATAAAAGCGCAGAAGTTTGAAATATTCTTCCAAGTTAGAACAACAAATTAGTTATAACCCTTCTGATAAATGCAAGGAGACAATTTAAAATAGGGATGAATAAGGGCACGTTTGGTTTGTATTTCAATTTTGAGTTTTGAGTTCATTTTTAATTTTTGTGTTTGAAACTCTGTTTTGAGATTACTAAAAACATATTTGGTTTGTCATTTTGAAAAATTATTTCTCAAAACAAGAAAATTAGAAAATACGTTTGGTTTGAAATTTTGAAAATTTGTTTTATTACATTTTATTCCATGAAATTTGATTAATTGGTAAAAATAGAAAAAAAAATTATATTAATATATTATCATGTAATATATATTTTTTAAAGTTGATAATCTTATAATATTTTTTCTGCTACCACCTATAAAAGTAAAATAAAAATAAATAATAAATTGAGTTCAAATGTTGGAAATAAAAATAAAAATTAATTATGTGGATTGAGGATATTTTTATCAGTGTTTACTTAAATCTTTTTTTTAGAATTTTTATGTAAATAATTATTAAGAGAACTATTTTTATTTTTTTAGAAATTTTCATAATTTTATTTTTTGAATTTATTTTTCTTGATTTTTTAAGAATTTATATTTATATTTTTTTAGAATTTTTAATATTTTATATTTAAATGCTTGTTTTTCATTTTTGAGTGTTTTCAAAATTTTCATCGAAAATATTCAAAACGTCAAAATATGTTTTCAATTTTATGTTATAAGATTATTATTGTTTTCGACAATACATTTTTTAAAATATTAGATCAAACATTTTTTCAGTTTTTCAAAACTGAAAATAGTGAACCAAACGCACTCTAAAATTTTCCTTCATTTTATCTAACTCGCTCCTCGCCATTGGAAATTCAATGTCTAGAGACACCAAAAGACCCTTTTGATATCCCACCTTATCCCCTTCGTCTTTTATTTCTACATTAATATTGCATTAAATGAAACGTTAAAGAATTCATATTAGGTAAACAATAATTAAAAGAATTAATGTACAATTGTTGTTGTTGATAATCATAGTTGACAATATTGACATGGTTAAAATTTAGATCATTAATTTTAAAAACTGTTTTTGAAATGAATGAATGCGATGTTATCAACCATAATTGTAAAAAAAAAATTATGCAAATAGCATGATTGTAAATAAAATTAATTCCAAGTTGATCAGATGGACAAAAAAGAAGTTTGACCTTAACACGTGATAGGCTAGAACGACTAAAAAAATTGAAAAGTTTCCCTCGAATGGCCTCTTGGTAGCCAAGAGAAGAGGTGCGACATCCACGTATGTCATAATATGGGACGTTGATGGGGGCAAAGCTTACTTTCGCGCTTGATCATAAGAGTTTGAGAAGATATGATGAAGGAAAGAATCGTTAATAGTCATATGTTGCCAAGAAGGGATGTTATAAAGCCGGCTTTAGCACAAAAAAAAGTTGTCTCATTAATTAAAATAGACAACGTGTATAAAAGTTAGTCTTCAATAAAACATGTCTAGAAGACAAGAAAAAAATAGACGTCAAAAGGATGTCTAGATTCTTCTAGAAGGAGTGACCTCTTTTTTCCTCGTGCAATCTATAAAATGAATTGGAGACGTTCTTACAGACAATCCAAGATATTAAGATTGTTTGAAATCGAAAATTCTTTTTGTCATGTTTAAAGTAAATTAACATTTTTGAACGTTAGACAAACTATAAACACAACAAAAGCTTCAAAACATTCATGTAGTTCGATACTAGACCCATGTTCGTGGAGACGAGAAGAAATATAATTTTTTTTATAGATATTTTTTCAATAAAAACTTTGGGTATGCCACGTGTGGAGAAGAACAAGTTGTTGAATGCCACGTACAAAACCATTCTCAATTAAATATTTACAGATGAGGAAATGGTACTAATTAATTTCACAGTCATTACTTTTATTTTATTTTTTAAAATTCATGCAAAAGGGAGAAATTAAAATCAGAATTTTAGCAAAATTTGATAAAAATTGATGAAATATGTTGTTGAAAAGTCCATGAAATACTTCGTTAAAATTAATTGTTAACTTTACTTTTTAATAAAAATCTAAATTTTAATTTTATAGAGCTATGGAAAGAAAAGTTATGCCACTTCGTTAGAAAGTGGTTGACAGATGAAATAATATAATAGATGTTAGCAAGATGTAATTGATGAAAAAGATAATTATATTTAAAAGTCGAGTGGCACGTGACATTATGCAGGTGGTATAAAAACTGTATAAAAATCCATGTAACTCGAGGCATTGTCTCACTATACAATCAGATTCCACCTGTCTATCTCTCGCTCTCTCAAACTCTCACATCCAGTGTGTATTGAACGTAACGCTTGGAAAATGCAAGTACCAACTTCTTTACTCCGGCCGTCACCGGCAAACCACCTTCTGTCACCGGCGAACCACCGGCTGTCTCTGGTCACTGGCATTTCGATTAGAAGTAGTAACTTTTCACTTTCGCTTGGGTTCCGTACATTCCAATGCTGCTCCATTCAGTCTCCGTCTTCAGGTTTTTCTCTCTAATTTATGTGTGAAAACTTAGGTGTATGTATGTATGAGTGTGTGTGTTACTACAGTTTGCCTGTTGCATGTACATGCATTTCTTAGTTGTATAGTCAATTTACAGAATTAACTTTGCCTTTTCTGTTGGTTAGACAATGCAGAAACATAAAAATGAAAAAAGTAATTCAAATTCTGAATCGCAGTTTTCTGATTTTTGTTTTGCAGTTCATTTAAGAGTATAAAAGAATTTTTTTTTTTTTTAAACTTTTTCACATGTTATTGGATGGGAAACAAGAGTTTCAAGGATGATCGAATCAGATGTTATTAATAAAAAATCGTTTAAAATTTATTTTTAGTTTTCCTTATTAAATGATGTCCAATTAATGTTAGTAAAAATGGAAAAAAATTTATTTATTTTTTTTTTTTCATATGTTATTGGATATGGACATATGGGAAAAAAAGAGTTTCGACGATGATTGGATTTAATGTTAGTAAAAACGAAAATACTTATGGTTTAAAAATTATATTTATTTTTTCATCTTTGTTGTTGGGTGGTAAACAAGAGTTTGGATCATGATTGTCTTTGCTTATGTGTTTTTTTAAATCTAGTTTTGGATGAGAAGAGGTTCATTGAAGCATCGGAAAATGGGAATTTAATTCCTCTGTGCGAAACCATTTTCTCGGATCAGTTGACACCGGTGCTTGCTTATCGGTGCTTGGTTAAGGAAGATGATCGAGAGTCTCCGAGCTTCCTATTTGAATCAGTCAAGCCCGGTTACCGCACAACCACTGTTGTAAGAATATTAATTTTGCTCAAAATTATTCATTCTCTTGGGAATGTATGAGCACATGCATGCATATTGATTTTTTTTTAAAAATCTATGATGTAATTTTGAGATTTTTTAACACATATCTAAATTCTTATGTCATGGTTCATAGGGGCGATACAGTGTGGTAGGGGCGCAGCCGACTATGGAAATAGTGGTGAAAGAGAACAAGGTTACACTATTAGACCATGAAGCTGCAAAAATGACTGAATGGGTTGAAGAGGATCCAATGACGATTCCAAGAAGTATTTCAGATTACTGGAAACCGCAACTGATCGAAGAACTTCCTGATGCTTTTTGTGGTAAGAATTAGTTGTAATAATATGCATTTTGTAATGTTTAATGATAACTATTTCAGCAGCTTTTATTTGAAAACGAGAATTTATGTAATATTAGATATATGAACAAGATGCAAAAAGAGGTATTTTTATATTCTTGTAGGTCTATGAACATACTTCACGATACTTGTTGGATACTTCTATGCTAAGCGCGTGCTTCTAATTTACTTTTAACTCTTCAAACTGCACTAACTAAAAAGCAACACTCAGACATGGCATTTCACAAACTGCACAACACTTGTTTGAGAAGCGTAAATAACTAGAAGACAAGCTTTGTCCAAGGAGCACAAACCCTTCATTTAATATAACGAGTCTATGCTAGACACGTGTTAGATACCAATGCACTGACACTCTTGGTAGGTCAATGACTCCCCCGTTATTCTTTGAGGAAAAGCACATACTTCACGACACTTGTTCGATACTTCTATGCTATATGTGTAACATTCATTGTGTAATTTCTATTTTACTTCAACTCTTCAAAATGCACTATCTAAAACCTGACACTTAGACAGGGCACATGGGCGATACATTGCGTTAGTCATCAACTCAAAAGTCAATTATGTTCGTTATGTTCCTGTTTCAAATAAGGAAACCGAAATTTTGATTACACTTGCCATTTTAAAAATATTAAATAAAAGACAAGGTATTCATATTAGTTACATCTAGTGGTTCTATGAATTATATCTGGATGCATAATATCCAATCATCCAATACTTGTTCCCAATTAAAATGAGAGGTGTTTGACATGATTATGCTAGAGATTCTCATGGAATATTGAATATTAAGAAAGGGAATCATCTCATTAATTATCTTTGAGTATTATCATGATGAAATATTTGTTGTAGACGAATAATGGATATCATAACTTTTAGACGCACTTACATCTTGCATTCATCAATATGTGAACAGATACATAATGGAAGATATCCTCACAATTTCCTTATCGTCTTGAACAGGTGGATGGGTTGGTTTTTTCTCATACGATACTGTTCGTTATCTAGAGAAGAAAAGGTTGTCCTTCACAAGCGCACCAAAGGATGATAGAAATCTTGCAGACATTCATCTTGGACTCTATGATGATGTAATTGTGTTTGATCATGTAGAGAAGGTATGATTAGCTTGCTGAAAATTGGACTGTATAGATCATATATCAACTTTTTCTCTTTACGGACAAAAGTAGAACACCTGCAACAAAAATGCTATTATGACAAAGCAGTTGGCAAATGCAAATGTGTTTGATATATACATATACTTTTGTCTATCTGTTTATATTATTCTTATAACATTAATTGAGATTATTCGTGAATGATTCCTGGGAATTCCCCTTGTCTTCTCAGAAAGTACATTTGATTCATTGGGTCCAGTTAGATAGATTCTCTTCTGCTGAAAAGGCTTACAACGATGGAATCACACGATTGGAGAAATTGGTGTCCAGAGTAAAAGATATTGATCCGTGAGTAAAAAATGTCTTTGTGATATCTTTATCTTGAAAATGATTGTTTGAAACGTAATTTACACTCGCTAATCTGTAATTTTTACTGTCATGTTAGTCCAAGGCTATCTCCAGGTTTCATTGACCATCACAATCAACATTTTGGACTCTCTTTAAAAGAGAGTAACATGACTAGTGAGGAATATAAGAATGCTGTTGTACAGGCAAAGGAGCACATTTTTGCAGGGGATATCTTCCAAATTGTTTTAAGTCAACGGTTTGAACGAAGAACATTTGCGGACCCGTTTGAAATCTACAGAGCTTTAAGAGTTGTGAATCCAAGTCCATACATGAGTTATTTGCAGGTTTCTTTTTCTCTTTGATTTTTTCTATCCTTCGTTTAATCAATTAACACAGCCTATATCATTGTGCATTCTTACTTCATGTCAGGCTAGAGGGTGTATTTTGGTTGCTTCAAGCCCAGAAGTTCTTACGCGTATTAACAAGGTAAAATTCTTTTCCCATTTCTCCTAATTTAACTGGTCACGCTACATTTACAATCCACACATCATCAATGCTTTGAATCTCTTCAAGGTCTTTTCTGTGACTTCCATAGTTCTTATATGTTTAGGACAAATACAAACATAAATTTTTTATGCCATTCTTCTTGACAGAGAAAGATTATTAATCGACCCTTAGCTGGAACCATTAAAAGAGGGAAGACAGCCCTTGAGGATGAGATGTTAGAAATGATGTTGCTAAAGGATGAAAAGCAATGTGCGGAACACATTATGCTGGTTGATTTGGGCCGAAATGATGTTTCAAAGGTTTCTGCTTATCTATTTTACTGCGAAAAATATCACGAGAAAAAAAATTGCATGCTAAACTTTGACAGTGTTTTCATCTATTCATGGTGTGTTCGCTGCCATAATTTTTTGTCCATAGTTTCTATCTAATTTCCTTTCATTGCTATATCCTGAATATCTATGAAATTTTCAGTATTGTACTGTCCTCAAATAAGATCAGCACCTCTTCAAAGTCATCATTTGTTCTTCTGAAAATCTCGGTGGCCGTTGTGCGACTAACATTCTTTCTTATACAAGAGAGATTGAAACTAATGGCTGTTCCATGTCGTCTCGGGTGGCTGGTTTGTATTTCCATGTTTTTAACTGGCTGCACCCCTATGGGTTTGAGTACATATTGAGTGGCCTATTGTTGATGGTTGAAAGAAAAAAAAGAAAAAAAATGGGGGATAAGAAAACAAGATAGAAAAGTTCCATTATTTTTCCTTGATATTACAGGAAATTTGTTAACCCTATTAGCCATTTCCACCAATATTTTAACTGTTGTATCAGTGCTTCCAAGTGTGAAACTCATTATTTCTATATGCATTTCTTGCCATTGTTAAGTGTATGCAATTTCTTCTTGTTGTCTAGACATACATGTAATATTTTTGTATTTGATATGTCCACATTTGATAAGTAAATAACTGGTATTAATGATATTTCCATCAAGGTGGCAAACCATGCATTTGTTGAGTAAATCTTGGTTTGATTTATTTAAAGGCTAAATGTAACAGTGACTGCCTTCCGAACTATATCCATAATTAGTTTCTTTGTCTCATATGAAAAAGCTTACACTTTAAGCATGGATTCTTGATGTAGGTCTCAAAATCTGGATCCGTTAACGTGGAAAAGCTTATGACTGTTGAACGATATTCCCATGTGATGCATATCAGCTCTACGGTGAGGATACACAAAGTATTTGATCTTTAGATGTAGACCGTCTTTATTACTGAAGGAAGTCTTAATAATTGACACAACTTTACTCGCAGATCACCGGGGAGTTGCTTGATCATCTAACTTGCTGGGATGCACTGCAGGCTGCGTTGCCTGTTGGAACAGTTAGTGGAGCACCAAAGGTCACTAGTTTATTTATTACTCTTTCCTTATTTGTTATCGGTTACAGGTGACTTGATGTGATTACGAGCTTTTCACCTGTTAGATGTATGGTCTATCCTTTGCTGTCTCAGGGGAGAAAAAATAATCCTTATAAGGTTAAATTTCTTCTTCTTACAGGTGAAGGCCATGCAGTTGATTGACCAGTTTGAACCAACAAGACGAGGACCTTATAGCGGTGGCTTTGGAGGGATTTCGTTTACAGGAGATATGGACATCGCATTGGCACTCCGAACAATGATATTCTCAACAAGGCCTCGTTATGACACAATATATTCGTACAAGGATGCCAACAAACGGCAAGAACGGGTTGCTCATATTCAAGCCGGAGCTGGAATTGTGGCTGATAGCGATCCTCATGAGGAGCATATAGAGTGTGAAAGAAAAGCTGCAGGGCTGGTTCGTGCCATTGAGCTGGCCGAATCAGCATTCGTAAACGAAAAGCCAGCAAAGATTAACGGTGCATTATCATCCCGTCCATCTGCATCACAATGAATATAGAAGGTTGGAATTTAAGGGGCTTGAAAAGGTAGAAACCAAATAGAGGAGAACAAATTTATGCAGAAATCATTGTTCTGCTACTTATGATTGGGCTATTATATAGATGTTGAAATAAATTTTGTTACTTCGTGAAAGACTTGTGTTTATATATCATTTATGGCGCAGCCAAAATTCAAACGATCATTTTAAAGGTCGTATCGTATAATTATGGGTGATTATATTCTTGATTTTTGCTTATTGTCGCACTTATAATCTTCGCATCTGCTTATTATGACACTTTTATGTTCAACTTATCAACAAAAATTAAAGTAGGCGGGTCGAGTTGGACGGATTTATAAACAAAAAATCTGAATTATTTTGGCACTTCATGCTTTGAAATGTTACATGGACAGATTGATATTAACTTTTATAAACCCAAGAAATGTTTTTGGTAATTAAAATATTTGTGTTAAATGTGTATTTGTTTATACTATTTTTTGTAAAATGCATTTTATCCAAGTTTTACAATAATATTCTAAGAGTTTTCAAGCAACATCATTGGTAAAATTTACAAATATAGTCGGGTCGGGCTAGGGCGGGTTTATTCAATTTTTATAAGTTAACACATAACCCGACCCGACCCTCTTACACAACCAACTCACCCAACCCGTATAAAAACAACAAAAAAGACCTAAACCAGTCGGGTTGGTTCGATTTTGGTAGATTCGATCGAATTTTGCTCACCCCTAGTTCTGATCTCACAACTACATAAATGCGTCTATGACAAACAGAAGGGAGGAACGCCATGCTTGTATACCAGTAGCATAACCAAACAATTTCTTTTCGTTAACTATTCAATTGAGTTAATTGTCCATTTTGTATATTTAATATTCACGTTGTGTTTGATGGATATTATATGAAGAAATAATGTATTTTAAATAGTGATATGATGTAAAATATGTGGTTAAAAAGTAAAGAAAAATTATTAATGTAATGAAAAATATTATTTTATTGAAAAATATTTGGTTGAAAATGAATTTTGAAAGAATGTATGTATGATGGGCTCAATTATTTCTGTAGTCTGAAACACACTGAAAACCTAAAAATAGATGTTTGCGCATCCTTGGATCAGGATGTTGGTCAAAACTGCACTTAGAAATGCATATACAAGGCTCTGCACAAGTGATACTCTCACTGAAGTCGATGAGATGTCGGGGGAAAGGATGCTTTACCACAACGGAATAACAGCCTTATTCTTAATAAATTTAGTGTCGGCTATAAAAATTCCTTTCTACCACTCTGTTCAATTTATTGCTTGACATATTGGAATATAGAAAGCAACTGAAAAAATCAAATAGTCATTGAAGAAAATTTCATGGGAATACATACTACAAATTTTTAATCAAATATGGATTTGCTCTACCTACTAGATCAGTTCTTTCATACGGTGTGAGAAAGGGATTTGTACTGAACCTTAGTAATTTATAAAACTAAGGGCATGTTTGTTGATGGATAAAAAATGCTCGTTCATGCAATAGAAAGCAGCCTAACGTAGTGCAGTCCTAACCTTTCTATGGAACAAAATTCTACAAAAAGAGAACTTTTGTCCAGACATATATATATATACCACAGGAATGTGAAGAATCAATAGAAAATTCTTATCATAGACCAATATTCTCGTTTCATAGTATTATCTTGAAACAGCTCAATCAGCAAACACATATTGAAATAATCGTGTTTCAAAATGAGATACTACATCTTATTTTTCTCCAGTCATCTTACAGGTTACAACTACACCTTAATTGACAATGCCAAAGACATTTGTGTGTATGCAAAGCAATAGCTACAATGAATCCATAAACCGACTTTCAGCTCTATGTTATAAGACTGATATGTACATCTAAAGTAGATTCACACCATCATTTTAGAATAATAAGTTGTAGGGATAGGAAAGCATAATATCTCTTGAACTAGTGAATGAACTGACAAATCTAACAATGTTGAATAGAATTCAAATAGCATGCACAGAGGCACACACCAAAACTAAATCTTTTTCCTCTTCCTTCTACTAGAAGACGATTTTCAATGGAGCAAGCCAATTTGCGTAGGATTTTCTTAAAGAGGGGCCGGAGCTAATCTTTATATGGGTCGTAGCAATTGTGAATTTCTAACGGACCAAGGCTTATTCATCAAATCAATCTAAACTCATGAGCAGCAGAGAGTCCAACTATCATAGTTCAACTAGTTTTAATAAACTAAAAGCCAATCAATATATCAGCATAACTTCAAATAATTCTAGTGTTGTAACTCATTCTCAACCACTCTTAAAAGCAAACAACTACTCTTGAAACATAATTTAACTACAGAATGCAAATTTACAGAATTCATAGATTCCAATTAACATCGAAAATAGTAGTTCTTACACTTTCGAGACAAAAAAGAAAAGGAAAAGAAACAGAAAATAAAAAGGCATAATATACACCACAACACATCCAACTCCCCCATAGAGACTTTAAGTTCAGATCCCTCCAACCGACTACCAAAAAAAAAAAGGAAAATTGACGTATTTAACCTAATTATACCTCATTATTTCCGGCTATCATAATCCAGAATCTCATTATCAGTGACTGATCTGGAGTGCTGCACAATAGAACGCCCAATAGAATTAATCCAATCCTCCTTTTCCTTCTCCGAATCCGCAATAAAGTACATGGTCTCTGACCTAGTGGACAATTCAAAAGCAAACTGCCGATTCAGTACATCCTCAGCGCCTTTGACTGTGAGGCAATCGGCCACCGGGATCACTCCACGTGGCTTGGAACCGCGGTTGACGTCGGATTCCTTAAACCAGAAGAGCTTCCCTTGTTTCAACGCGAACCAGCGGCGACGCCACGTCTTGATGTACTCGCCTTGCTTCATCAGCCAACCGCACCGTTCCGGGTTGACCCAAAACTCCACTCCGTCGTAGTTTTCGCTGGGTTGGGCCGAGCCCATCGCCGCTCGCCACAGGCTCGCCATGATCAGTGCTTTGATCGAATCGCTGAGAGGAGAGAGAAATAGAGGTATCGTAAGAAAGGTTGTTGGATTCTTGTTTAGTGCACTTTAGGGTAAATTTCTCAAGGGGTCCCCAACCTTTAGCAAGTATGATATACATATCTCCTACGTTCTATTTATGGCGCCCATGTCCCCAACCTATTAAAACTGTGAGAGTGCTATCCCAACCTGAATGATCTATTTAAACTACAAAAGGCTACAGGGTAGATTCATGATGTCTAACTAAATGGTGATTTCTTCTCAAGAATCTATATATTCAGCCTCATTAAAGTTGGGAAAATTTACCCATTTCAAACAATCACGCACCTATCGAGTGCCATTTTACAGTAAATGGACATTTTTTTTAAGATTAAAATACTCTGCTTACATCGTTAAAAGGAGTTTAACACTACAAATAAAGGTTGAGAACAATAGTGTCACATCGACAAAAGTTTGGAGACCCCTGAAAGAATTTACCCTTTATTTTTATTTTTATTTTTCCATTTATTAGCATTCAGTGTTACTGGTTCTTTAAAGTTTTAGGGGCTGTCTCTTTGTGTTTCAGTTCTGAGTTTTGAATTCATTTTGAGTTTTGTGTTTTGAGTGCCCATTTTGAGATTGTTGAAAATGTGTTCTTTTTAATATTTTGAAATTTTGTTTTTAAAAATAAAAAAAATGGAAAAATTGTGCAGTGGTGGTTGGCGATGATTGAAAACACTCAAAACGCGTTTTAAAATTTTTGGCCTTATTATAATTGAAAACACCAAAAACAATAAATTTGAATTTTTGAGTTTTCTTTGTAAATTTTTAACTTGTTTTCAAAAATGCGTTTTCGAAAATAAGAAAGAGAACGCATTTTCACTGTTTTAAAAAATCGAAAACAAAAAACGGCTTGAAAACAGTAAAGAATACATGCTAACTTTCCACTTTGGTGAGGCAAATGTACAACTTCTGATAAACTTCTGATAAATTGCATAAACCCCCTTGTATTTATACAGTTAGTTCACCCCTTTGAATTTCTTGAAATATATTTTGTTTCATTGTCTGGACATAGCTCACATTCAATTTGTCTGAGCGACTCCATTGATTTATGGACTGAAGTAGACATCTGCATCATAAACTCAAGTTGATCAATCAATCAAGTCTATTGAATTTGATCGGAGTCTTGACGAACTTTGTGGTTTATGAGAGAACCAACGATAACATAATAATTTCTTAAAAGTCTTCTATACGGACGACATTTTACTTAACGAGAATGATAGTCCAATTCAATTCAATTCAATTCCTATAAGATCAAAATTGAAATGACATTAAGGGTCCATTTTATTATAAGGGTGGAAAATGAGTGGAAAGAAAATGAATTTCAGAGAAAATAATTGCTAAGAACTTGTTTTTCGGGGAATTGTTAATTAAGTATATTTGATTGGTATAATTTTCCAACTGAAAAATTTTTAAATTTTGGATCTTTTTGTGTTCGTTTGACTTTATTTTATATAAAAATTGTCCATTAAAGTGATAATTTTTTCCACAATTGATTATAAAATTTGTATCAATTGACAAAAAAAAATTCCCTAAAAAATCATTTTTTTAATCAAAGTTTAATGTTTGTTTGACTTCGTTTTAAATGAAAATTGTCCATTAAAAAAAAAAATTTACAATTGATTATGAAATTTGTTCCAATTGTCAAAGAAAAAAGGCATGCTTGTTGGAAACCAAATTCTCACCAACCAAAAACATGGAAAGATGGGCGTGTGGCTGGAAATCGAGAAAATGATTAGATTAGAAAATATTGTCAATCAAAGATGCATTTTTTGAAAAAGATGGAATTTAGGGCCCGTTTTATTGAAATTGTGGAAAATGAGTGGGAAAAAAAAATGAATTTTAGGGAAAATAATTGCCTATAACTTTTTTTTCAGAGAATTGTTAATTAAGTGTATTTAATTGGTATAATTTTCCATTTTATAAAATTTTGGATCTTTTTGTTCACGTTTGACTTCATTTTACATGAAAAATGTTCGTTAAAGTAATTTTTTTTTTTTTTACAATTGGTTATGAAATTTGTTACCATTGCCAAAAAGTAATATATATAAAAAAAAAAAATTGTTCGAAAACTATTTTTGCACCATTTTTCATCAAAATTTAGTATTCGTTTGGTTTCGTTTTACATGAAAATTGTNTTTTTATTTATTTTAATTCAAATTGTTATATTATTTTTTTTAATTTTTTTTTTTTTTTTTGCAATTGGTTATGAAATTTATTTTCATTGTAAAAAAATAAAAAAATTTGGCCAGAAAACTGGATTTCATTTTCCCACCCCTAATTACATGGAAAAAGGGCGTGTAGGTGGATTGGGGAGAAAAAAATTTCCTTGAAAAATTTGTGCCATCAAACAATACAAAAGTGGAAAGTGGGAAAATATTTTCTATGGAAAATTTAACAAATCAAACGGGGCCTTAATTTTCAATTCCATGGAAAAAATGTAGTATCAAACAAGGCCTAAATATATTCAATTTTTATAATTTGAAAAGTAAGTCAAATTCCTGGCACATGTCATGGTTTGCATGAGCCTATAAATCTATTAAGCCCCTATTTGGTTTGGGTTAAAATCTTAAGTCAAAGTCAACAATTAATTTTAACCACACATTTCTTGAAACCCACAACTTTTTAAACACACATCTTATCAACTTTTATTAAAATTTACTAAAAATCTGATTTTAATCTCTACCAAACATGGAGTGAATAGTTAGGATAGTGGGTGGGATTCAGTCGAACCTGAACTAAAGCACTCAAAAGCAGTAAAGCATATTCTCAATTATCTACTGAGAACGAGACTCTGTTTTTCTATTCAGAGTACTATACTTTCAGTCAAATATAGGCACAAAGAAATCAACATCTGGATCATACTTACTTCAGTAGCAATGTAAAGAAATGTGTATCGTCAACTCTACTGTGGCGGTCGAGTAATTACAAAATGTGTGAAAAAATTTGGTTTGTGCAGAAGATAAACAGGTGGGAACATATGTGGTCCCTTAGAAAAATAGAGAACAAACTTCAGGAAGAACGTCCCTCCACTGAATCTCACAATTATTGAAATGCATGTGATGCGAGCAACAGACTTTAGCATCTGTCATTTTCAGTTTCCATCAGGAATCCCAACTTTTTTTCTTACATAATCATGTATTTGATCTTCATTTTTCCCATAGAAAAGCACCGATCTACAAAACTTCATATCTACAGACCACAGTAAGAAAATGCCTACCGCTTACAGGTCTTGCCAGAAACAAATTTGAAACAGAAGAAGAGCAGTGATCTCAATTGTACAAGAAAAACATCATAAGTGGAAGACATTTTAGAATATAACCAAGTCACTAATATTAATACACAAAGATCATTAAACTTTGCACCGATCATAAGAAACTGATTTTCTACCAGTTTTTTTCCGTAGTGTTTCTCATTTGTCACAACTGTATGCCAGTTGAGGATCTAAATAAAAATGGATGGCTATTACAGAAGATTGTATATATGGTAGTTTGAATAAGTCATCACCTGCCATGTAAGTTGGTAGGAGATTGAATACCCTTATCACTCCTAACATCATCATCTACTTCGTTTCCATCCATACAAAGGGAATTATTATTGACACTCACATCAGAACTTGCATTACTGCTTGTTGCAAGTGGGGAATCCGAGACACTGACAGCCCTGCCTCTGGGGGGCCCTGATCTCACACTGTACATGGAGGATGCTGGGATATTAGTCATTAGTGGACGTAGATTGCCTGGAATAGTTCGCCTTATATCCTGTTCAAACAAACAACCACGGATTAATCATTGAGAAATAGATAAAAGATACAAACTAAAGAGAACTTCATAGAGATAAGTACTATTATCAGGGGAAAATATCTTATAGTGCAACGGGATTAACATTTTCAGATCCTCGCAATGTGTTGACAGAAACCATGTCCATTACTTTTCTATAATTAAACATACTTGTAGCATCACTCCAACAATGGTAACACAAGTTCAGATGAGTATACATACCATATGCCTTATTGCCATATCTAAAGATTTCTTTGAAAGCGTTCTTCCAAAGCCTGTGCTCTCAGGTGATGAGGACTTTCCAGATAAGTTGCTATGGGGCGAATGTTTGTCATCTTGCTTTGGTGGAGCCAATTTCCGCATATTTATGACCCTCTCAACCATTTTAGTACCATAAAGAACAGGGCTCACATTGTCATTAGCCTTGGCACGCAACCGATTTACAGAAGGCACAGGGACAGAGCTTCCACTGCTATGAATGATGCCACTGGGCAGCCGTCCTCTTGCTGGAGAAGAAGATTGTCTTCTAACCCTTTCATTTGAACTACGTTCAACAGATGAAGATCGAGAACTTGGTGCACCAGGTCTGCCCCTAGTGGCTGAAGGTGGCCTGTCAGGCGGCAGTGATGTCCTCAAATTTGGAGGGGCGTCAAGGGAGAATCCAGGCATTTCGGAAGGCTTCCATGGTCTGGGTCTCACAGTTGGGGAGTTGGACCTTGGAGGAGCTGGATTTTTTGCTGCATTGGACACCGGCTTGGTAACTGAAGATGAAGTCGGGGAATTTACCCGAGCAGCAGACATACTTGGTGCACTTGACGTTGAAGTAGGCCTACGAGTTGGAGTTGCTGCTCTGGAAGTGGACTTTGACGCAGGTATAGATGACCTGGTTGTTGGTGTTGAGGATCTTGCAGTAGACCTTGTTGTAGGTGTAGAAGATCTTGAAGGAACTGTGGGCTTCGAAGAAGACAACGTGCCACGGGAAGTAGGTGTAGCGGATCTCGTAGGTTTCGATGCTGTATTTGATATTGTTCTAGATGTTGTGTGTGTGGTTGGTTTAGACTGGTTCATCGAGTGTTTATTAGATGCCGAGGTCAAAGTAGATCTAAATGTTGAACCCAAAGTTGGACGCCCGGTTGGCGTTGCAGGTCTTGATCCATGACCTCCAGA